ACGCGACAGCAGCCTCACTGGAGCACAGCCAGCACACACGCCTCGGCACCCTCAGGTGGCTGGTCCCCTCTGAGGGTGGTGGAGTCACGCACTCGAAGGTACCCAACCCACAGCTTCACGTCTTATGCAGATCACCCACCGCCACAGGAAGGCTATGTAAATCCCTGTGTTCTCTCTGGTTTAGGGAATAAGGACAAGAAAGAAGGTGCATACGTCTTTCTTAAATACTTTTGATCCGCAGTGGGTTGGATCTGCAGATGCAGCACATTAAAGACGAATCTCAAACAAGACAGCTCAGGAGCCTCTTCCCCAGCTTTGAGCATCCGTTTTCTTTGATGCATAACAAACACTATTAACCGGCAGCTTCCTCCACCAGGCACGCAGCCTCACAGTCCAGGGCTCAGGACTCTGGTTTGGGCAGCTGGGTGTCCGCCCAGGGTCTCGGGAGGCTGGAATCGAGGTACCACGGACACACAGCTGTCTCCACTGGGGGAAGCGCCACCTCCCAACCCCTGGCTGCTGACAGACGCACCTCCAGGTGGCTGAGCCACGAGGCCCCTGTCAGCTCTGGCTCTGGGTCCTGGCTGGAGGGCCGGCAGAGTGGGCCACACAGCCCTGGTCCTCCAGGCCAGCAGGAGGCTGGAGTGTTACACGACAAAACACAGTCACAGCAGTGACTTCCCTGTCACCTTGCCATGTGCAGGGCCCTGTCCAGGAAGGGACTCTCCATGTCACGGTCCTGTTCGCATCAAAAGGAGGGATCCTGCAGGGTGTGTCCCGCCCTGGAGCAGCAGTGTGGGGGCCATCCGGGAATCCTACCAGACCCGTCCCTTCCCCTGAGGAACACGTCCCCAGCCAGGCGCACGGTGCACTCCTGCCACCCCAGCTGCTCGGAAGGCTGGGCAGAAGGATCGCAGGTTCAAAGCCAGCCCCAGCCACTCAGCGAGGCCCTGAGCGACCTCGTGAGACCCTGTCTCCAAAAAAAAGGGCCAGGGGTGTGGCCCAGTGGTTAAGTGCCCTGCGTTCAATCCCCAGTACAAAAGGAAAAGAAAAGAACGAAAGCATCTTCCCAGCCGGTAACTGACTTCCCCCGACCTAGGAAAACACACCCACCGGGCCCCTCTCTCAGATCCCAGTTTGAAGGGTCAAGTTCTGTGCTCACAAGCAACGCTCTGCACACAGAAGCGTTATTCGCAAAGTCTCGTTTCTTTAAACGGGGACTTGGTGCCATCTCGTCTGCAGAGATTCTCCTTCCACAGGACCCCGGGCCCTTTGAGGAAGCTCTACGGCCCAAGGCAGGACGTCATGGAAGGTGACCCTGGTGAGCCCAGGCAGCAACCGGTGTCGGGGACACTGCGACTTCAGCCAAATTGAATCCTGGGTACCACCGATGTTTTAAGCTTTTAAGAGTATCTGTGAAGCGACAGAGGGAGGAAGCACAGATCGGGGAGGAACCAGGGGAACCGTACGCTCACTGGCCTGCTGACGTGGCTGTGCACGTGTCCCTGGGGGTTCACTCCACAGGGACCAGAGGGTCAGAACCGTGCTCCAGCACAGGGCTTCAGGGCGGGTGCAGTGGAGAGAAGGAAAGCAAAGCCCCATTTAAAAAGAGAGAGAGAGAGAGAGAGAGGGAGAGAGAGAGAAAGCCAAATATATTTGGAAAACAAACTTAGACATTGGTGGCTGACTCTTGTTTGAGGATGTGGTCAGCTTTTTCTTAATTCAATTTTTCTACAAATGAATGAACTCACTGCATCATTTTGGATGAGGAGAAAAGGTTTTCCTCCCTCAGAACTTCCCAGGATCCGCCGCCCTCCCTCCGGGTCCCTCCTGTAGGAGTGGAGTGTCTCCCAAATGCTGACCAGGTTTTGGTCAGAGACACCAGCTTGCCTCTCAGGTCCTTGTTTTTACATCCAATTTAATTGACCAGTGAAGACTGACAGGCCACAAATCAATACCATTCATGGGCAGACTTCCCTGAGGACCGGCATGGTGAGCCATTCTGGACACCCTACCAGGGTGTCTGGAGACTCGCTGGCCTCCTCCTCGAAGTTTCCTCTCCTCACTCTGCTCCCTGACCTCGTCATACAAAGGCCTTGCTGATCCTGGCTCAGAAGACAGTGGACACAGGGAATCTCCAAGGCAGACCAGACAGGACCCAGCAAGTCCCCAGCTCCTCTCTGACCCGTGCTCTCTCAGGCACAGAGACACAGGGCCTGGCCTGCTGAGGACCCACAGACACCACGAGCAGGTCCTCCTGCTCCCTCCTAGGTGTCAAGACAATGGTGCTCAGGAGCTGGTGTGAGCCCAGACCCCCTGGCTCAGACGAGAGGCAGAAAAGCCCACTGCCCCCCAGGCCTGTGGAGGTCAGCCAGCTCGGGACTGTGGCTGCGGGCCCCACTGCTGCTCCGCCACCAGGACAGTGAACTCCACACGCACAGGTTCTGTGCTCCTGGTCCTGTCCTGGGACACCCACTTTCAAAGGTGCGACTGGGGACAAACGTTGGGTGGCCAGCTGTGGACCTTTTCACTGTTTCTGTTCCCTACTTGTACTTCATTTGATGCTGGAACAGGAATGTTAAGATCTGTCTTCCCTCCACCATCTTCCACTTAAATCCCCACCTTAGTTTCACAGTCAGAAAACAGCCATGAGTTTTGTCTCCAGGTCCTCTGCTGAGATCCTCCTAGGGAGAGATGCTGTGGCCCATCACCTTGGCATCTTTCCCTGCTGACCTTATGACAGGACCTCCAACAGAGCAGACACCTGAGGAGTGTCATCACCCGGCGGAGCATGCTTAGGACCAGCAGCACCACATCCCTGCACAGCAGCAGCAATGCAGCGGAGGGCCAGGGCAGTCTGCACTGTGTTCCCTAGGAAGGGAAGTGAAGGCACGCCTGCACACACATGCACACACATGCACACACACCTGCACACACACATATGCACATACAGAGACCTTCACACACACACTTGCACACACACACACATACCTGCATACACACATGCACACCTGCACACACATACACATGCACACACACACACACATGCACACACAGCCTATATTCTCCAGCACACCTAACTCTAGGCAGGAGTTCGTGATACAGAACTCGAGTGGAGGCCTGAGTGCTCAGAACTACATGGGAGTTCCGTGAGAGGCTGGTGGCCCTGGGTCCTCTCTGCTTGCTAAGGCCAGAGAGATGCACAACCAAAGCTGTCTGTGCCCTTCAAGTCACCGTGCAACCCAGCGCTGCAGTGACCCAGCCGACACGGAGGCAGCCTGTTTGTACCTGTGTTCTACTTGTATGACAGGAGGAAACACCAGGCCACTGCTGACTTGGCTCTTACGAGGTGGTTTTAGCAGGAAATGCACTTGTTTGGGAGCCAGAGGTCAGTGGTCTTCATCCCACCTCTGGGCTGTGGCTTTCTTATCAGAAAATGACGTCTTCAGACAAAGTGACCTCTTCGCCCTTCCCGGAGTGCCACACTCTGAGGCGGCTGATCTGCAGAGATCAGCAAGCCTCGTTCCCACCGTCTGAGGTCTGACGTGGAAAGCCCCTGGCTGTGGAAGACCCCACCTCCCCGTGTCGGTGACGTTCCCTGCCTGCTGTTAACCACGGGTGACAACAGCAGCTCACCCTGGCCAGTGCTAACGGCCTCCACCCTGTGCAAACACATCTAAAGCAAGTGACGGCAGCACAGGCTGCCCAGCCCACTCCACATGTGCCCGAGCGCTGTCCTCCAGAGGCAGTGCAGAGTCACCAGAGGCCCTCTCCCTGCCTGGGCGTCCACTCGCACCCTCGCCTGGGCCATCCAAGATGGCCTGTGGATCTCGAGGGAGCAGCACTCCATGGCCTCCCCAAAGTATCTGCATCTGGACCATAGCTGGACAGTGACCTTACCTTGAAGGAATCCCAGTTTGGGAAGGAAGCTCCCGACAGAGGGCACACAGCATGGAACCCCAGAGAGCGCAGAGAGGGGGGTCCATGGAGGGCAGGCGGCAGGCTGGGCAGCCTGCAGCCTGAGGTTGGCGGAGAGGCCCTTCGTGAAGGAACCAACCTGCAGAGGTGGAGCGGATCACACCGCCCAGGCGACTCGGAGCCCACAGGAGGCGTGGAAAGCTCTCCAGGCCGTCAGAGATGAGTGGGTCCTCAGCTGCTGAGGACGGGACACTGGGGTCCCCATGGTTAGCTGCGGCACAAACTATCCAAATCATCAATATTCACAGAAAACTAGAAATAGGCCGTAGCAAGTGTAAGTGCACGTTGATATAATCACATTAACACACTCCAAAACCAACGGTGAGCGCTGGGACCCAGAGCCGCAGCAGCGTGGGAGCCAGCGGCGGTAGGATGGGCTCGGGATGGTGCTCTGTCCCCAGGGCCCCGGGAGTTGGGGGCCGTGGGGGCGACTGCCCCCGGCAGGCTCTTCCCAGCAGGTGCCACACCTGCTTTCCTGTATGCAAAGCCCTCCTGTTTCAGGAGACTCGTCCACCGCCCTGCATCCCCTCTTCCAAGAGCTCTGACCCTTGCATGGTGTGACATTCATCTTGGGCTTGAGGTGTGGCGTAGCGTTAAGTATGTGTGCGATTACCCTGAATGGCAATTAAGTTTGTTTTGAAAACTTGCAGCACCCCTTGGGAGAATCCGAGGCATGGCAGGTTCAGGAATCATCTCTCGAGCCCCTGCATTAATTCTAAGAAGATGTGACACGCATCAGAATGGAGCTACGATCGCTCCACTGCCAGCTCTGGAAACCTGCCCTGCAGTGTCACGTAAAGCCCTGCACACAGCACGTGACCACCCGCTTGTGTGCTCAGGGCACGGCAGCCCTGTCAGACTGGAGGCAGAGGGGAGTGGGCGCCAGATCACGGTGGGGAGACGGGGAGAGAACTGATGAAAGGGAAGGGGTTGTTCAGCCTCCGGGTGAAAGGCAGAAAGCGCCGATTCTTCACCCAAAGGTCTCATCGCTCATCCCTGAATTCCACAGACACCCAACAAGAGGCAGTGAGTGCCCAACTTTAATAAGCCATGGCCGAGCACCTCATCCCACCAGACGCTGTCCCGGGCCCTGGGCGGAGCACTCCTGGGAGCACAGAGAGAAGTGAGAGGCGACCCCATCCCTAAGGAGCCCTCTGCCACACACACGCGTAATCCAAGGCACAGGACCAGTCTTGAAGAGGGAGCAGTCTCCTCGCCAGCTGGCACAGCAGGGAGGGAGGCATCTCATCTGGACCTGGAAGAAAGGGAGAGGATTTCAACTCCCAGCGTGGTAGGAGAGCAGAGCCACAGAACCCAGAGCCGGAGGGCAGGCAGGCGCCCAGGGCAGTCCTGACCGGAGGGCAGGCAGGTGCGAGGGGACGGGCTGGCTTCTGGCTGCGGCACCCTGCATTCACTCACACACGCTTGCACATGTGGGAATTCCCAGAGACTCACACGCACACACATGCACATGTAAAAAAGCCACCTTGCTTGTGCACACTCATGCTCACACTTGCACACACACAAGTGTACATAGTGTACACTTACACTTATGTCTGCGTGTGTGTGCACACATGACCATGCCCACACCCTCACACATGCACACTCAGCTTGCACACTCACACCTCCTTCAGCTGGAGAGCCCCCACATGGTGTCGGGCTCTCAGACGCCCTGACGGTTCCAGACAGCCACGGAGCAGCCTGAGTGCAGGCAGTCGAAGCTCCCCGGGAATAATCCGGAAACGTGACGGGAGGGGAGGTCACCACCGCGGGCAGCCCTGAAGCCGTCGTGGGTAGGAGAGCATCCATCTCCCCTGCAGGTGTCCTCAGAGCAGCCTGGTTCCCCAGAGCTGCAGAAACAGGCACTCAGAAGCAGGGGCGGGTCAGGACTGGCAGGCAGGTCACAGGAAGGGCACAGCACCAAGAGACGCTGTCCCAAGGACAGAGCCTCAGGCTCCCGAGTTCCCTGGGCAGGGACTCCTGGGCCACAGCCACCTTCCTGTGCCTTCCTTCCTCGCTCGCATCGCTCTGTGTGGTTGGGACTTGCCACCGGTGGCCCCTCATGGACAGCAGGCTGCACTCTTACTCAAAGTCCTAGATGCTTGCGTAGATGCTGACCCAGTAGAGAAATGTGTATTTCACACTCCTCCCCGGGCCTGAGACTCATAGACAGACCAGGTATGAAAGCCAGCTGTCCAGACATTCAAGAACAGAAAGCACAACCATTAATACCATGATTTCAGACAGCCAGAAGATGGAAAAGAGAAAAATTAGAGGGGAAAATACAAGTCCATCTCAAGGGTGAATGCAAAAGAGAAAAAGAAACTGTTGTCAAACTGAATAAACAAATGGACTTAAAGACAACAAGTAAGGTTCATACCCATAATGCAAGGATGGTTCTCATCCTTACTAGTGAGAGCCATAGCCAAGTAGGTATGACGCATGGCCATTTCCTTGTCAGCCTACCCCATGTTGCTTAGAGGAAGGACTCTCCATTGTGGAAATGGGCTTGCCTTGGACCTAGGTCATTTGCAGTGACATTGCATGAATGTTTGAGAAAGGTGACCCTGCTCAAGGACCAGGGCGGATCCAGGTTTAGGGCGGTTCCAGGTTTAGGGTGTGGATCCTGCTGGGAATAGGGCATATCCTGCTGCCTCAGGCGCCCACTCCTTGAGTTCCTGTTGAGTTCTTGCAAGATTCAGAGAGTATTTTGGGATGCAGAGCCTGGTGGAGTGTGGAATTTCCCAGAACATGCATGTAGAGTGCTGGTGAGAGTTAGGGAATAAAGAATTGCTGTTTGAATCTATAAGGCTGTGAGTGGCTCGTGATTTTGTGCCCAGCCAGACTGTGGCAACTTACCACATTAATATGTTAAAAGAGAAGAAATCTGCAGTTATCTTAAATGCAAAACAAGTCAACAAGTTTCAAAATTTATTAGTACTTTTTAATTAGCCACATCAATGTTTATAGCAGCTCAATTCACAATAGCTAGACTATGGAACCAACCTAGGTGTCCCTCAGTAGATGAATGGATAAAGAAAATGTGGTATCTATACTCAATGGAATATTACTCAGCTTTAAAGAAGAGTGAAATTATGGCATTTGCCAGTAAATGGATGGAGTTGGAGAATTTCGTGCTAAGTGAAATAAGCCAATCCCACAAACCAAAGGCCAAATTGTTTTCTCTAATATGTGGATACTAATTCACAATAAGGTCGGGGGCACTAGGGAAGAATACTGTTACCTTAGATTAGACAGTGGGAAGTGATGGGAGGGGAGGAGCGTGGATATGGGACAGGAAAGAGAGTAGAATGACACAGACATTCTTACTGTTTGTATCTATGTGACTGCATGACCAGTGTGATTCTGCAGCATGTGCACTCAGAAGAATGGGAAGTTATAGCCCATCTATGTGTGACATATCACAGTGCATAAGTGCATTCGACTGTCACACATAACTAATTAGAACAAATTTAAATTTTAAAAAAAAGAGAGAAAAAGAAAACTTCTTTAATGGGAAACAGTGTGCCAGTGAGTGACCCAGACGAGTGTGCAGGACACGGGCCCGTCCCACCAGGGAGGAGGCTCTGGCTGCTTCCCTGACACGGGAGCAGCTTCCTGGAGGAGGTCCTGGCAGCCCATGGGCAGAAGAAGGAGGTCGATGACTGGGAAGGACGAGATGAAATTGTCACCAGGCAAAGAGCAAGATCATCCACCCAGAAAACCTAGACCTGCAGATCCCGCGTCGGGGCACAGGGAACCCACGGGACTGCAGGCCAGAAGTCCCCAGGGTAGCTCCACCCCACGGACATGAAGCGGGTTTTAAAGGTGCCGCCAGGTTCTCAGAACCTGTAAAGGTAAAATTTCTAAGCTGATTCTAAGCCGTAAAGCCTGAGTTAAAGTGTAAAAGACCGGGCATTGTAAAGTTTCTAAACTGCAAGGCCTGGGATAAAAAGTAAAAGACTAGGTATTGTTAAAATTCCCCTGCTACCCCCAGAGCCTGTAATCCCTGTAGCTGTTAGGACAATACCTGAACTGCCCAGTAAATATTTCCACTGACTCCCTGCTTGTCTAATAACCTGGGATTCTGTGTAGTTTGTCACGTAGTTATTTAGGCCCTAAAACCAAACAGTTTGAATGTGTACCCCACTTAGAAGTGACCAATCACCCCTGCCCAGACTGTTCCCACCAATGAATGTACTAATCCTGTCTCAGAGTTGTTGTTCAATTTTCCCGCGCCTCATGATGATTTGTTCTGATGTATGCAAAGCCCCCGCCCTCCCCAAAAAGTGTACTTAAGCTCTGCTTGACCTCTGCTCTGGGCTCTGGGCTGCTCTCCCTTCCTGGGTGAGCCTTGATCCCCAGCATGCTGAATCAATAAATCCCCTTCTGCCAATTGCATGAAGCCAGTCTCTCGTGTGGTCTCTTCCTCTGACGATTCGCCAGACCCTTAACCAATGTGGAAATGCGAAAAAGACCCAGCACCCCCCGAAGAGGGTCCTGTGGGCTGAATTTCAGGCGCTGAAACGTCAGAATGTTAAAGCAAGAACAGGTCGTGGTTCTCTCTGCTAATCTGTTCTGATATAAAACTCCTTACGAGTGGGAGCCAAGGACTTCGGGCAGAGAATGCTAATGATGTAGGAGAAGAAGGACTGCAGTAGCCCCTGGCCTTGCTCAGCACGGCAGGACCACGGATTTTGTGCAGGACGCTGAGACCATGGGGTGAAATGGGGGGGGGGGCTCTCCAGGTCCTGAGGAACCACCGCGGATCCCTGTTTCATTGCTGGGGGCCGGGGGGGTCACCTTGCTCATGGACACACCTGGAAATGCCACTGAGCCAAAGGACCGATCCCATGTCCCAGCCATGGGACAAGGGGCATCACTGCCTTGTGATGATACAGCAGGGGGACACCACCACCACGCCATGCCCTGTCAAGATGAGCCTAACGGTGGGGGAGCACACGTCCAGGGCACTCCAAGCAAAGACAGTGCACAACAGACGGGGACATGGCACGGCTGCATTCTAGGGTCACCGTCAAGCGGCTGTGTGGGCACTGATGGTATCTGGCCTGGCCATCAAGTATCCCGCCACAGGAAGTTTCTGGACAGCGTAGAAGTTCCTCACCCTGGGCACCCCGAGGTGAGATCAGCTCCCGGCCATGTGCAGGAGAGTAGAAAGCAGTTTTCAAGGCAGCAGGGAGTGTGGTCACCACTCAGGGACGGCTGCCCAGTGGTCACTAAACGGATCAGGTCTCCTGTGGGTGCCGTGGTGGTGTGCCAGGAATACCCGCACTCCCTGGCCTGAGCTGAGGCAGGAGGTGGAGGGAGGAAAAACATTAGGACAAGGAGACCCGACACATTAGGTCCAAGGGAAGTGGGACTGGACCTGGCCACTGTCCTTACAGACCCAGGCACGTCCCCCGCACGGAGGTTCAGGTGTGCAGAACTCGAGCCACTCTGCTCTTCGCCAACCTGACCATCTAAAGGTCTGCTACGAAACTGTCACCTCACTGACAGTCACCTTCTCACTGCTGTGGCTAAAGGACCCCACCCAACCATCGGAGGGAGGAAAGTTGACCTGAGGGCTCAGGGTTTCAGAGGTCTCAGTCCACACCCAGCAGGCTCCATTCCCCGGGCTCCAGGTGAGGCTGCACGACATGGCGGGAAAGGGTGGCAGAGGGAAGCAGCCCACACGACGATCCCGAAGCAGAGAGAGACTCCACTCTCCAGATCAAAACGTATATTCCATAGCCGCAGCCCAGGGAGCCACTTCCTCCAGCCACAGCCACCTGTCTCCAACCTCCAGGCAGCTGATCCCATCGGGATCAATTAACTGATTAGGTTAAGATTTTCAATCACTTCTCCTCCGAACCTTCTCGTATTGTCTCACACGTGAGCTTTTGGGGACACCTCACGTCTGAACCACAACAGCTCCCACACTGGTGGAGCACTGAGAGTCGGTTCTTCCTGGCTGTGTCAGAAGTCCAGCTGCTGTGCCCTAGAAGGCCAGCATCTCAAAGCACAGAGTGCAACGGTATTTGGATCTGGCCACCGCTCCTCCCGGGTCTGCTCTGAGATGTCCTCCCCACAGCCTGGATCTGCAGTGCCAGGATGGGCAAGGGCCAGGGAAGCTCTGGAAACAGCCGCCAGCCTGCAACCTAGATACGTGGGCGGGCACTGCCCTTCAAAGGCATTGCCCAGATGGGCAGAGCGTTTCCTGCTCCTCTGGACACGGCCCCTACACCAGCCTTGTTTCCTGTTTTCCCTCATCTCCTGGACCTGGGCACATCTGGCGGCACTTCTTGGGCCTCCAATACCCTCCTTCCTCTGCCCGGTTCCAGGTTTGGGCTGTCGGAGGAGGAAAGCCAGTGAGCTTTCCCACGGTGCAGGGCTCAGGGCCAGACAGCTGTGGGACTGAGGGGCCAGAGGACAGAATGTCCCACAGGGTGACCTGCACACCCCCTGGCAGGGGTGTGGCTGGCGGCCTCAGTCACAGGGATGTGAAGCCCAGCGCCACGTGCCTTCCTGGGCAGGGAACACGGAGCTCCGCCCAGCTCTATCAACCTCACTGGACGGCCCAAGTGCAGGGACAGACACAGACTGCAAGACCCCAGGAGCAGAGGAGTATGGCTGCCAGCCTTCCGTGCTGAGGGGAACTGTCCCTCCTATGCCGGGGTCGGGGAGGAAGAAGGAGCAGCAGCCACCGCAGTGGGAGGGCCGGGTGGGCACCACTGAGCACACTCTTAAAGACAGCCAGATGGAAAGTGTCTCTTTCAGAGCAGGGTCCAGAGAAGTCCGTTACTCACCCTGGCTTGGTCCTGGTGGTGTCTCCCAGCCGGGGTACTCAGGAGCCCCGTGGCCACAGGGAATGGACTGCAGGAGAGGGCAGGGCAGAGGAGCGGGTGGCCACCGGAGAGGCGCCCAGGCGAGGTGCATGTGGGGAGGCACTGGGTGATGCACAGAGGCTCCAGTAGGAGAAGCTCTCTGCCACCGATGCTGGGCCAGGCCTGGCCTCCCTGTGGCTACAGCTGGCGCAGTGGTGAGCGGGCACCAGGCCCACCACAGCAGCCTGGGCTAGTGTGGCCAGGGGGTTGCATACGTAGAAACACGGGCTCACACTGTGTTAAAGCCCACGGCTGCGGGGTTCTCCACGGAGGGATGGGATCCAGGGAACTCAGGACTTCCTGTGGGGACACGGCATGGGGAAGGGCGTGAGCGGCCCCATGGGATGCTGTGCCCAGGCCTCCCTCTGCAGGGCCTGGGGCTGGCACTGGGAGGAATGAGAGGCCAGACTCAGGAGCCAAGTTTAGTGGCCAGGGCTAGGGCCAGAGTCAGGGCCAGGGTCAGGGTCAGGGTCAGGGCAGGGTCAGGGTCAGGGTCAGGG